TTCCTGTTAATATTAGGAGCTCAAATTTGGTGAGCACTTTCTAGAGGTGCCTAAGAACGAATTTTTCAGTGTCGGAAGTAAAAGAAATATATTAGATTTTTTTGAACCACCCTAATACACACTCATGCATAACTTTTTATTTTATGAAATAAATAAAACCTTAATTTTAACCGCGTTTAAAAATAAATCCTTAATTTCAAAATACGAAAAGGTCATAAAAATAAAATACAACTATATTTAGGTTTTTGGTTGGTAAATACAGTTGTCAAGTTGGTCGCATAGACACGGTATTCTGTGGCATAGATTAAAACAAACTAAGTTAGTTATAAATCTAATTGTGGTTATGTATAAATTATTGTAGGTTACATTGTGCAGTTGTCAAGTTGAGTTGTCGAAATTCGTAGTTAAAAATGCAATTAATTTTTGGCTTTGGTGGTGCTTGGATGAGTAAAATCATATAAAAAAGTAGTTAAATATAGGTTACTTTACGGCCCAAAAGAGAAAGTATTCCTAGCGGATAATAATCTTCGCTTTGAAAAGAATTTATATAAAAGAAATTAATTTTTTTTTAAACGTAAATGTTGGCCAATGGTGAATAATGTGAAAATAATGTGTGATGTAATATTTATAAAATATAAAACCAAATTCGTCACTTTTTTACTCCAAAAATTTCCATAAGGCGATGTACTTTTTCTTCCATTGTGGCATTTGGCATAATTTCATCAAAATGAAGTTTCCCTCAAAAAGGGTTTTACATTCGAATTCGTTGCTATTATTTTTGGCATAATTATCTTTTTATTTATAATTGACAAGTAAATTATCAATAATAAATATTATTGTCGATTTGGCAGTGTCAAAGTATTTAATTAAATTCTTTAGCAGAAGTACCCCAGCAAACACACTAGTCCGGCCATGCAATGGCACATTAATGGGCCATTGCATTATGTAATGGCCCAGTAATGTGCCCTTGCATGGCCGGAATAGTGTGTATACTGGGACCATTTTTAAATACTAAAAATACTAAGTCAAACTGGCATAAGCCACCAACCCAACAAAAAACACGAGTCCAGATAAAAAAAATGAACTGTGGTTGTAGATATTTTCATAAGCTGACAATTCTGCTAATTATACTGTCACGTGGTGCAAGATAGACAATAACGAGTTTGAACATTCTCGGCAAACTATGTAGGTTTGATTTATCACACCAATTCATCATTTGTCGTTTTCAACGTTTCTGTTTATATTTTGCATTGTTTGGATGCATTTGGATTTACGCCATCGAATTAAACGCTACAAAAATACAATGACATCCAAATTTAAAACTTAAAATTTAAAGATACATTTTTTATTAGATATTTCATCCTTTTTACTTTATAAACACTTGTTTCGTAGGGGTTTTAGTTTATTATTTTAGTCAATTGATATAAAATGAAAATAAAATTAACTTATGGTATACAGGGTGTCACCAAATAAGTTGTCATAATTTAAGTTGCCGCCCCTATTTTTTCCCGATTAAATGAGAGGGAAATGAAAAATTTAAGTAAAACATTTATTTATTTTTCTTAGAAAATTAGTATTAGTTGGTACATGGTACACTCAGAAATTTTTTTAATAAATATAACTAAAAAAGTACTTTGTTTTAATAAAGTAAAAGATCCCTATTCGTCCAACAACTGCTTTTGTTACGGCAAAAAGATCATGTTTATAAAAATTATTTATCTACAAACCCTGCTTTCAGTAATAGCATTTGCATTAATTATAAAGTAAATTTACGTTATGTTTATAAAAATAACACTCTTCCAGATGCAGAAACGCATTGATAAATATAGATATTATTATTTGCCAATAAAACAGTTCTATATCGTTTATAAACAAAAACGTTTTGTAGTATTAATGAAACCCTAATGGTATTATTCATAGAAATTTTGTAAATTTTACAAATCCCTTTTCATTTAAATTAAAACCTTTTTTTTTAATATTAATAAAATTTATGTAAATTTAACAACAAATTAATTATTAATTCAATAAACTATTTTCATTGTAACAATGGTCACATTTTCAACCTACTGTTGGGTGCTGGGAAGTTTTTTTAAAATAATTTCAAGGCATTAAAAAAAATTTTTATTATAAAAAAAATTAACTCATATGATGTACAAAATAATGTTTATAGAATAGACCTTAAATATTTCTTTTAGAAAACGTCGAAATTTTAATTTTCTTAGTGATCTTTTGATATTTTTATCATGCTAGATTTTACCACACTTCACTCGCACAAGTGAAATCAATAAGATTATAACACCGACTGTGGATTATAAAGCTATGTTTACCAAGGAGAGCGCTGGCCCTTTCCCCCTCTTTTTAAGGGAAATAACAAAAATTTTGTTACCATTGCAAAACAATAGTAAATATTAAAAAAGTCTTTTTATAGCAATAAAATATTTTTGTTATTGTTTTTAACGTAAGCTATTAACGAAGATTTTCTAACTGAAATAAAATTAATTTGAATTACAACGGTAGTAATTTAAAATATGCCATAGTAAAATTAACAAATTTTACTATAATAACTGCACATTACTTTATGTAAGCCCAACTCACACACAACTATAGATTTAACAAAAACATTTTAAGTTCGACAAAGATTTAATATAAACATAAAATATTTCTTATTGCCATGACAATATAAAAACAACTATACATTGTTGGATGAAAATTTTTTTTATAAAAGCTTAACATTGCTGCTTCATTATAGTAAATGAGAATTTTATTAACAGTAAAAAGAGTTTATTCTGTAAATAAAAATAATTTCATTGCAGATTCCCAAATTGCTTACTCTATTGTTTTATAGATCAATTTAAATCATTTTTAGATTATATACTTGTTATAAGTAACATACTATTATATTTTAAAGTTTTTAAGGTTAAACAATACCCAACTATCTAGGTACACTCATGTTTTATAAACTTTTCCTTTATTGCTTGGTGTGGAGTTTCTCCTTTTTTTCTACTTCTAATAAAGTTTGATGTAAAACTTGGAATAAAATTCATCATTTATTCAACATAAATATTAATTTATTAGTACGAGGTGTATTCAGAAAATATCGGGAATTTTCGTTTTTTAAAACAAATATTTATTTATTCGTCTACATTAATGTTGACGCCTTCAAAATAGTCCCCATTGGATATTATGCACATGTGCCAGCTCTTCTTCCAATACTCGAAACACTTCTAAAACTCGATCTTTGGGATAGCCTTTAGTTATTTCAGCGATGCGCTTTTAATGTCATCTATGCTTGCAAAACGACGGCCCTTTAAGGTTCTCTTTATTTTTGGGAATAGAAAAAGTCAGACAGAGGCATGTCTGGCGAATATGGAGACTGGGGCATCATTACAGTATTGTTATGGGCCAAAAATTTGGTTCAAAATTTAACAATTTTAGAACAAATTTTGCTGCCACGCGTTTCATACTCAAAACAATTGAAAAAATTTCATGGGATGTGCCAATTGATATACCAACATCATCAGTAAGGCCCGGATTTTTAGGTCATAAAAAAGTGATAAAAGGTTCCTAAATTAGGTGATATTTTTAATAAAATAGGTTATTATTTTAGGTACCTATATTTTAGGTACTTAATTAAAAAGTTAATATTGGTTGGTCCGTATTTTTAGGTTATAAAAAAGTAAAAAAAATGCAAAAAATAGGTCACATAGTTATAAAATTAGGTTATTATTTTAGGTGCCTACATTTTAGGTACTTAAATAAAAATATAAAATAAGCTGATTTATTGAAATAAAATGTTTTCATTATAATGTCGATATCGTTGTAAAACCATACATAGGTCTTATGTAGTTTTAGTATATTTTATTATAATTGCTCTGTTAATGTCCGGCAATAAAGGATTTAAATTAAAAATGAAATAGTTATTAAAATAATATTTATTATTAACATTAACTGAACAAAAATGTTTGGTTGAAAAAATAACAAATAAAATAAAAGATTCTTTAAAAAAGTAAATTTATAATATCACAAATAATGTAAAATAGCAAAAAAAACATAATAGGAACTCTAAAATTACAAAAAAAAAAACAAAATAGGAACTCTATAATCAAAGAAAATTAATTTTATTAATTTATTTAACGATTATATGCATGACAGACAAAATATTTCTCCAAGTTTTCAGAAGTAAAGCTAGTGCGTTTACCAGTCAAAAAATTTTTAAACCAAGAGAATGATCGTTTAACGTCACAGGACTGGTAAAAAAAAGTTCATTTTAGGTATTAAAAATACAATTTAGGTGCAAAAAAGGAAAATAGGTGAAAAAAATATAAAAAAGGTATTTTAGGTGAAATAAAACTTAGTCAGATGACTCCATTTTTTATAAAACGGGCAAATACAAAAAAATATCTTTAAAACCTAAAAAACCAACAAAAGGTGTTTTACCTAAAATCCGGGCCTTAATCATCAGCGACTTCTCTGTTTTTATCGGTTGTTAATGTGCTTGTGCGTTCAGGGCGTTCGTCATCTTCAACGTCTTCACGGCCATCTTGGAAACTCTTATACCACTTGTAAACTCTTGTTTTACTTATAGCAGACTCACTATATATAGGCCTATAGGCCTTTGTTAACATTTCACAGAATTTATTTAATTTTTTAAGCAAAATTGGATACAAATTCTTTGATACATTTCTTTTAACGAACGAAAATCGCCGATCTCATAAAACACGTCTAACCTTAGCGGCTGCCACAGACAAAGTAAACAATGAAAATAGCTAAAGTTTTTATCATACTTCGGGGGCATATATACCAACATAATTTTATGACAATCGGACCCTCTGAACCCGCGAAATTTAACAATTCCCTTTATTTTCTGAACACACCTCGTAAATATTAATTTATTAGTACATATTTTTAAACAACACGACATGCCTGAAACTTTTTATATTCGACAATAGACATGCATTTGGAAGGGTTAATTGGTCGTGGTTGAGCATGCGGAGTCTTACCTCTCACTGGAGGCAGCAGCCTCTTATCATAGCGAGTGTTCCGCAACAGATTATCCAGGATTTCCTTGTCGGATTTCCCCTCTTCAAAGCTGAAACACACAAACACACAAGTGTCACTAAGGGCAATTCGCTAACTGACTAATGGGCGTATGTGATGTCGACGCGACTTTGGAAATATACAAGCGTGCACATCACATGCATAATTTAAGCTTCTTGAGATACACTTTTTGAATTCGTAGAATTACGAAAAAGACGCAGGTGGGTTTTTAAAATTATGTATAGTAAGCCATCGAATTGTAAGACTTAACATATTTCAGATTGAATTTTTAATTTTTATTATCGTAGTAAAATTTGTTTGATTCTTCTGTAGCTTTACTATTTAACTTAATACACACAATATTATTTTTTACTTTTTATAATAAACTTTTTAAGTATAGCTTGAAATCAAATTAATCGATTTGGTCAAACAAGAAGGTATTTGAGCCCTGTAAAACTTTCTTTTACAGATAAGTATTTTGACGCTAGCGATTTTAATGACTTAAAAAATTCGTTTTATGGCAAAAATTGAGGTCAAAATTTTACATATCGTCCTGGGAAAGGTTTCAATCAAACAGATAACTCCAGTTTGGATTTTTTTTCGTCAAGCTGACATTTTTACAAAAAAACAAGGTAATGTTGATAAAAATACATGGAAAAATGGCGAAGATATAAATTTTTTAGTGGAAGACCAAAATCAGCTTTTTGACGATTTTTATTTTATTTTTGTTCTTTTATTTTGTAATATGTTTATTCTTTAATGAAAACCTAATTCAAGTGCATGATTGGAATTTTTTGATTTTTTTACGTACTCTATTCACCGAAAACATTCAAAATTTAAATTTTGTTTCTCGTGTTGGCATAGTGACATTTTACTGCTATTTTTTGATATTTCAACAAGGAATTTTTTCATGGTTTATTTAGTTAATAAAAAGTGTAAAATGAGTAGAAGAAGTAGAGAGCTCTTGTGCGTAAATAACCCGCACAATCTGGGCGACGTAAGTGATGAGCACGGAGAACGTTTTCACCAGCAAATGAAGGCTATGGAGCGGCGGTATCACGGCTTCTGGGATGCAGCCATGATGGGTGATTACATTTGGTCCCTCATACGAGAAACGGAATACGAAAGCAACAAAAAACAAAGAAAGAGTCAGACTTTTTTTAAACCTATGCTTATTTAAACAAAATAAAACTTTTAATTTCTTCAATATTATGAAATATTATGGTTTAATATTCAATATATAATTTAATTTCAATATTAAATTTTATATAATTTAATAAAATAAAAAAAAACGTAAAAATTCCCGAAAAACTGAATTTAGGCCTTTAGCCATTTATCCATTTATCCATGGATTTTTATAAACAGCAGCTTATTTCTTTCCTTTAAGTGTAATCTATACGTAAAATAAATCAAACTGGAATTATATTTTTGATTTCTATCTTTTCCAGAAAGATATGTAAATTTTCGACTTCGATTTTTGTAAAAAAAGGACTTTTTCAACTTCATAAAATCGCCAGTATCGAACTACTGAGCCGGTACCAAAACTATACAAGGGAAAGTTGAAGAGGGCTAAATTACCTTTGATTTAAGTGCTTGTTTGGTCAAATCGATCAATTTGAACTCGAAGTATACTCTAAAACGTCAAAACACCTCAGAAAATAAAATAAAAACAATTGAAAATTCATATCTCGAAAACGCTTTCAAGAAAAAAATTTAAGTGTGATTATTGATTTTATGGTATTGTTGTTTTCCTGACATGTACATGTATGTTAACCTATAAAGTTAATTTAGTTTCCCCGCACGCAATACAACGAAAAACTAGTCAGATAGGCAGTAAAGCAATGTTTTACAACAATGAGTTATGGTAGTTTTCTGTATTCATGTAAAGTCTATCGAAAATCTATTATTTACTTGGATAAGTATATGTGTTACGGCTAATGTGCAAACTTGGATAGTTTATAAACTAGCTGGATAGTTTATAAACTAGCCAAACTGTCAGCTATTTTAATTGAACATGTATTTTCAACTAAATTAGCGGCTAGTTTACAAAATAACCAAGGATCTTGGCTAATTTACTTGAAATTATTAGGGAAACTAAAATAGCTGGATAGTTTGTATACTATCCAATTCAATTTGGCTAATATGAAAACCAAAATTTCTAGTAACACAAAATAGCCAAGCTTTAGCTAGTTTGTAAACTAACCAACTAATTCTCTGGCTATTGCCCATTTTAGTTGGGTTTTTTGCTCAATGGGGCTGAAGGCCCAATGGGGCGGGGTCGGTTGGGTGGTGTTGTTGAGTTTGGGTTGGTTTGGGTTTTTTTCTCTCATTTTTGACCATTTGACCAATGGGGCGGGGGGGGGGCAAAGGGGCGGGGTCGGTAGGGTTGTGTTGTTGAGTTTTCTAACAAGGAAGCGTTAAAATTTTGCCTATGATTCATTTTAAAAACGTTAAAATGCACAAAACAAATCCGGTTAAGCCGGCAAAACGAAAAACAATGCCGTAACCTCACTTTTTTAATAAATTAGCCAGAGTATTGGTTGGTTAGTTTACAAACTAGCTAAAGCTTGGCTATTTTGTGTTACTAGAAATTTTGGTTTTCATATTAGCCAAACTGAATTGGATAGTATACAAACTATCCAGCTATTTTAGTTTCCCTAATAATTTCAAGTAAATTAGCCAAGATCATTGGTTATTTTGTAAACTAGCCGCTAATTTAGTTGAAAATATGTTTTCAATTAAAATAGCTGACAGTTTGGCTAGTTTATAAACTATCCAAGTTTGCACATTAGCCATAACATATGCATATAAAAGATCAAGGATACTTACTGCTTTAACCTTACTAATCTAAAGTATATTTTGATAAACTTTACTTATGTTTTAGATGGACTGAACATTTAATGAACCGAAAATTTGATTTACCAATCGCTTTTATATAGCCGCAAATTTACTGAATTTTTTGTAAATTTTGTGGTCAATATTATTTCTAACATTTAAAAACCTAAATTGATATAAGGAGAGGAAAATGCCGTAAAAGAAAACTTAAATTAGCAAAATAGTTTACTATTATTTAATATTGTTGTGATAATATTAGTGCAAAGTTAACTTGATTACCGACGCAGAAGCCTAATTTAAAGTTTTAATTTCCAAAAAGCCTAATAACTAAATCAACATTAAGTTGCTTAGTTGCTTTAAAGCAACGTACAAAATTCATACCATGTTTTATTCGCTGTAGAGCATAAACCTAGAAATTATTAAAATGAGCAACAATGTAATTGCCTTGAAAATGGATTAATTAATAATAATGAGGTATTAAAAGTTAAACATTAATATTTGAGAAAATTAACAAGATATAATATCGATCTTGGTTTATGGTACAAGCTAAATCCCAGGATTTTGCTGTTTAACAAGCATACACTTCCTTACAATCCTTTAATTATAAACCTGTGTAAACCTTAAATAGGATTAAGGTGTGGTAATATCAATTAAACAGAGAAAACAATTTTTTATTTTAAATTCAGAAAATATCTGGCATCTTTGTTCTCTATTTTAGAAGCAAATATTTAAACAATTGACTTATTTATTTTAAGTTCGACAAAGATTTAATATAAACATAAAGTATTTCTTATTGCCATGACAATATGATAACAATTATTATTTTGTTGGATGAAATTTTTTTTATAAAAACTCAACATTGCTGCTTTATTATAGTAAATTAGAATTTTATTAACAGTAAAAAAAGTTTATTTTGTAAATAAAAATAGTCTCATTACTTCGACAAATCGTAGGTTTTTGTCTTAATAAGACACTGAAAATTTAATAAGAAAGGTACCTTAGGTGGTAAATAATATTATTTTATTAGTCGGTTACAAAATTAGTTTCATTATCAGTGCATGTACATTGTACATTGTACATTTTTCTGAGTGTGTCATAATGCTGAGAAGTGACACTTCTCAGCCGAATGGTAATTAGAATCTAATTGTTACAAACAACTTACATGTCTGACAGGGCCAGAGTCTGCCGTGTCACTAGTAAAATTGCAGCCGCCCGAACAAGCATCCAAGGCTGACCCATATTAGGACATCTGTAACAAAAAAATATTTTTTTTAATTTCATTAATATCTATAACAAGTTTTATCTACACGCGGTCTATGATTTAAACTTTATGTTGTCAACATTCGATAAAGAAATATCTTGTTATGGCCTAGGCCGATAAAAATTTTTATGAGGCAAGTAATTAGTTCGATTTTTTCTCGCTAGGGGTATTGTTTTGACAAATTTATCCTTTTCTAAGAAATTAACGTACTAAACTGGTTTAATTTATTTATAATAAGCACTAATTTGTTTGTTTTACTGTTAAAGTTTAATATTTTTCATTAAATTATTGTAAAATTAAATATAAATAATAAAACAAAAAGTGAGGTTAGGCAACCAAGAAAACGCACGATTCTTTTTCTACGATTTAAATTATCTTTAATTGTTAATTTGCTTTAAGTTTTCAGTGAAATTAAATGTTAAACACAGCTTAAACAATCCAAACTACCTATTTAAAAAAAATCCAAACAAATTGAAATTAGATACCTACCTATTTATTAAACAATTAATTGAATTCAATGTAATAGCAAAAATCCATTTGTACTTAAATTATATGTTGCTAGGTATTGTCAAACTATTACTGCTTCTAAAAGCAATAATAATTATTGTACATTTAATGTAATCTTTAGCTAATAAATAAATGAGATTCTAAAAAAGTGAGGTTATGCCGCTTTGATGTTGAATTAAATTGACCTATATAAAGTGCTTCAAGATAAAATGTTGTATGCCATTCGGCCAAGAAGTGCCTTTTTGGGCTTCGCTCAATTGGAGGCCTCCGCTACGCGTCGGCCTTCAAACCTTGAGCTTAGCACAAAAAGCCTTACTTCTTAACCTAATGACATAAATAACAATTTTTTTATTTTTTTGACCCTCTTTGCCATTTCGTCAAATTAAATTAATTTTAACAAGCAATTAATTCAGTGTGAAAATTTCACCTTAAATAGCGTTTCAAGGGCCACGCATTGCATTATTAATGAAAAAATATAAGCAGCAAAATAAAATACCATCGTTAGAACTCAATTTAATTTTCATTTTAAAAATCAACTGCTTTTTTTTTAAATAAAAAATATATTTTTTGTTTAATTATTGTAAAATATCTTATGTCTCATAATGAGTAAAATTTTAGGCATCCTTAATGAAAGTAATTAATTTTTAATTATAAAATTGATTTAAATAACTAAAAAACACTTTTTATCTATTTTGCGTTCATAATGACTTCATTGTAACACCGCTTTCGGTGCTGAAATGAGGTACTTTACCTCACCCAAAATTTTGATTTTATAGGTTGGCTACTTTAAATAGCATACAAGTAAAATAATATTTTGCATATTGTTTATAATATTTTTATGATTTTTCTAGTATTACGAGACTTTTCTGGCAATAAATTTTGTTTAACCTCAAAGAAAATCCTTTTTTTCTTCTTTAACATTAACAGCCGCTTATTGTAAATAAGTAAATTAAGGACGGCATGGCGAATCGATTTTGATATTAACTGTCAAACCAATGACTGTGATACCAACTATCTAAAGTAAAATTCGACCAAATTAAATATAAGGTTTAAAATATTTTTTTTATAAAATTTTTGCACAATAGATAAAATAGCATAAAGAACTCATGTCATAAGACCTTCTTGTGTTGTTTGGCTCACTAAACGCGAAAATCACACTTAAAATTAAAAATCGAAAGGATAAGTCCACACTGAAAGAAATATATGTTTGTTTTAGCAATGTTTGTGGTTCATATATGGACTACCACATACATTGCTAAAACAAACATATATTATATTTAGTTTTAACATAATATGTTAAAACTAAATATAAAAATGGTTAAGGTAAATATATTATATGTTTGTTTTAGCAATGTATGTGGTAGTCCATATATGAAACATAAATTTCTTTCAGTGCAGTTTGATTTATTTTACGTATAGATTATACTTAAAGAAAAAAAAATAAGCTGCTGTTGATAAAAATCCATGGATTAATGGCGAAGATATGAATTATTCAGTTTTTCGAGAATTTTTACGTTTTTTCTTCATTTTATTGAATTATATAAAATTTAATATTGAACATTGATTTTTATTTTAAACATTAAATATTGAAATTAACTTATATATTGAATATTGAACAATAATTATTGAACATTGAAGATACTTGAAAGTTTTATTTTGTTGTAAAAAAAAATGGTTTTTTGTTGCTTTCGTATTCCCTTTCTCGAGGGAGCAAATGTAATCACCCATCATGGCTGCATCCCAGAAGCCGTGATACCGCCGCTCCATAGCCTTCATTTGCTGGTAAAAACGTTCTCCGTGCTCATCACTTACGTCGCCCAGATTGTGCGGGTTATTTACGCACTCGAACTCTCTACTTCTTTTACTTATTTTACACTTTTTATTAACTAAATAAAACCATGATAAGAATACCTTGTTGAAATATCAAAAAATATCAGTAAAATGACACTATGCCAACACGAGAAACAAAAGAATTCACGTTTGCGGAGTCATGTCAAATTTAAATTTTAAATAATGTTTTCGGTGAAAAAAGTAGGTACGTATAAAACTCAAAAAATTCCAATCATGCACTTTACTTAGGGTTTCATTAAAGAATAAACAAAAATCGTCAAAAAGCTGAATTTTGGTCTTTCACTAAAAATAATATTTCAAAAACACTTGGATAAAAAAAAATTAAGTGTGTTTTTTTTTTTCGATTTTGTAAACCAATAAACTTGTTATTTTTTAATGCGTATTTACTTAAAAGTACATAATATTTACAAATAAAAAAACAAACAACTTCTTTACCCCCAAAGACAAACTTTTTAAATCCAAAGAGATAGGAAGAAAGTTTATAAACAACAGTATGTTTACCAACATCGGTAAATAATATTTATATCCGTGGGGAGTAGACGTTAAACTTATATTTTTTGCAAAATAAATCACGAAACTTTAAGTGGTATTCATCATGCAAATCCATGAAACTCAATAGTAGACAAAGAATTTCGACCCAATGGAACTCGTAAGCAGGTCAGGCAGGTCTTTTATTTAGTTTGGCACGTAATCAGTAAACTTTTGCCCTTCGTCGCTCTTTTTACATTTTTGCCATGAATACACCTACTGTTGGATTTTCTAATGAAAAGATTTTTTGATGCGGTAGAAAATGTACTTTCATGAATAGGATTCGCAGTAAATGATAATGAATGAAGTTCATTAATAATAATGCCAGTTTAAACGGATAAATTTTAAAATATGTTAAAATTATGTTTTTCTACTCCCACCTTTAAAACGCCCTTTATCGTACATGACAGTTAGTTTTTATTTAGTTGACAGTTGTAAAATGTCATACAATCGTTGAAATAAAGTGCCTTTCTTGTAAAATAATACTAAATGTGAAAATTATTTTATTATCTCAATACAAAAGTATTAAATAGTTTCTCAACGCCAATATTTGAAAAGTTTATATGAACATTGTACTGACCTTTTAATTTCGCCGGCAGTAAACTATAACTTAAATTCGGGCACGGACTCCACTGTAAAGTGCTCATAAAACATTTTCTTTACTTTCACTGTGAAAAACTGACAATTTTCAAGAAATACATTTCGATTTATAACCTTTATAATCTGTGTTTATAAAATTTAAAAATGTGACATTTGACGGTGACACACAGATTCCCCTATTGTTTCATCTATGCAAATTTTTGATTTAAATCATTTTAAGATAATAATAAGTATTTGTCGTAGAAAAAGTTTATAAACTTGTCTATACACTCATAAAATGGCGTTTATCAAACTTGATACATAATATACTATTTTTAGACAAATTAGTAGATACTCGTAGATTAAAAAATACGAATACGAATTTGAATGTTGTAAATATCGATCATGCATATCCTAGAAAAGGTATTGTTTCCCTTGTGGCAAACAAAAAAGTTTATTTTGTCGACCAGTTATTTTTTATATTAAATATTTGATTACTTTGGTTCTTAAGAAAGTAATTTTTTAAAAATGAAACACGCCACCTTTGACGATTAATTGAGCTTATAATACATTTATACTTTTATGTATATTAAGGTTAACAAATTATTAATCAATAATAGTTTTTTAGTTTAAATTAAATATTTATTAAGGTTATTATGTACTAAATCAGAAACATACTTTTTTCTATTTTATTAAATACTTAAGTCACATTTTTGTTCTATAACACTAGTTTACAAAATCGAAAAAATATTCTGCCCACCATATCCCATTATAATTTTCCCACATTTTTTTTTAATTTTCGGAGTTGTTTTGAAGTTTTTGAGTATAGCTTGAAATCGAATTTATCGATTTGATCAAACATGCCCTTAAATTGAAGGTATTGGAGCCCTCTAAAACTTTCTTTTACATACTTTTGATATCGGATAAGTATTTTGACGCTGGCGATTTTAATAACTTAAAAAATTCGTTTTTATGGCAAAAATTGAGGTCGAAAATTTACATATCGTCCTGGGAAAAGTTTAAATCAAACAGATAACTCCAGTTTGAATTTTTTTTCGTGAAGCTGACATTTTTACAATAAAAACAAGCTAATGTTGATAAATATAAATGGAAAAATGGCGAAATTATGAATTTTTTAGTGGAAGACCAAAATTCAGCTTTTTGACGATTTTTTTAAAATTTTTTTTTCTATTATTTTGTAATATGTTTAGTCTTTAATGAAAACCCAAATAAAGGGCATGATTGGAATTTTTTGAGTTTTTTACGTACTTTTTTCACCGAAAACATTATTCAAAATTTAAATTTGACATGACTCCGCAAACGTGAATTCTTTTGTTTCTCGTGTTGGCATAGTGACATTTTACTGATATTTTTTGATATTTCAACAAGGTATTCTTATCATGGTTTTATTTAGTTAATAAAAAGTGTAAAATTAGTAAAAGAAGTAGAGAGTTCGAGTGCGTAAATAACCCGCACAATCTGGGCGACGTAAGTGATGAGCACGGAGAACGTTTTCACCAGCA